ATTGCCATGGTGTTATTCAGTTATTACAATATTAAAATAGAAAACGTATCTTTTATGTGAATCTGTTACTAGGTTTTGAACTTTGTGAATACTTTCAAAAGTTTTGTTAATTAATACATATACATGTGATATACAAAAACTATGAATTTTTTAAAAGATATATGTAACTCCCCCTTTACACACACACATTTAATTCTGGAACAGTATGCAGTAATACTGTATAAGATTTTAAGGCTATTCTCAGTATTTTACATTGATAAGGAGTTATAACTCATAAAATTGCTGTCCTTTGCATCAAGGTTCCATGAACTTGAAAATGAAAACAGGACATTTAAGGAAAGGTTAAATGTGCCAAAGAGGGATCAGTGTTGTCTGACAGATTTTGAGAGAGGCTTTTCTCCTAAACTTATTAAGGAATCTCAAATTCGTGGACTATTCAAATACTGGTCTTGAGTAAATAAGATTTGTATTACTGCTGAATTTCCTGTTCTCTAAATGATGTTCAGTATGAGAAACCCAGAAATGATGTGATAAACAGGCCTGTCGCTCATCAGCTGCTACTAGTGTTGTGTAGACTGCGTAATTGACTAAATGTGAAGGACTAAGGCTAGCATTCAGGTTTTCTAAATCATCACAAAGTGTGAGTTTATTTCATATACCAATATATATATATATGTGGTTTGTTTGTTCAGTGTTGACCAATTTTCAAGACACACTAGTCAAGAAGCCACTAGTCCAATTAATATTCACGAAGAGAGCTTAAACCCGAAGGGATTTTGATTGTTATATATATTAAAATGAGATGTCCTTGCATGTCTGAGAAGTCAAAAAATTACTGTATTAAACTTTTTTTCTTATATTGATTTTTGGAAAAAGGAGATAATGGCATAGTAGAAAATGCAAAAATAACTATAGTCGGTGTGTTCGTTTTTGTGCTATGATCGGTCAAAGATACCGATTTAACACAATATCTGATTTTAGGTGAATTTCCGGGTTTTGACCATTTGCAGAACAAATTCATACAATTTCGTCCAAGTGTGTTATCAGCTGCTATGTATGAATGTTTGTAGAATTGATAAAAATATTTTTTCTTTGAAACTATGGAAGTAAAATTTCTTTATCTTATTCATTTTACTCAGAAATGCGATTTTAGTTACCCCTACCCCTTATTTTTTTAATGAAAAAATGCACATTTTTCACCATTTTTTGAGATTAAACGCTTGATAAAAAAAAATCCTGTATTAAACTTTTTTTAGTATTCAAAGAATCAAAAGAAAATGTGTTTCTCTTTCTAAAACATCCACAAAGGTGGGTCGGTGTGCTTCTTTTTTTGTCCCATTATTATTTGTGTTATTTTTCACCTTTTTCGGGGTCAAAAATCAAAATTGCTTCAGTTACCCTAATATGTGAAAAAAAATATCAATAATATATAACTTTCCACTTTTTTGCATATTATTTTAATCATATTGAGCATTATAAACTTTTACAGCAAAATTGAACCTGCTACAATTAGAAATTGTTACACAATGACAATTTAAGTGATTAATCTAGTGTCAAAAAAATTGAAATTTTGGCCCTTTGTGAAGCGCAAGAAATTCACATAAATACACTTTTTCAAAATGGCCGCCAAATTGGTAATTTTTTAAACTTGTAAAAAATGATCGACACACAACAGACATCTAGTTTTTTTTACATGCTTTTCAGATGTGTGTTTGCTATTATACCTATCATAATTTGTTAAATATTACAAAACCCCGTTACACCAGATCAAAACGAGAGTTGAACGTGACTGAAACTTTAGAAGAGTACATCCTTAAGAGCTTTTGCATCGAGGAACTTGAGGATTACTTGATGCACTACCTGTGAACTCTTTATAAAGTGGCACGATGAATTCATATCTAGACCATAGCCACTGAGCCAGATGATCTTGTGAAGTGTTTTTAAGACTTACAATTTACAAGTTTTATACTGTTTACATATGTACACGTATACAAAGACCAGTAAAATAAATTTGAAATATTCATGAACATGACTTGGTTGTACAAAAACAAGATGATGTTTACTATTGTGAGAAATGAATAAATTACTTTCATGATTGGCATCTGATTAACCAGTAAAGGAACAATTTGTACAAATGAATACAAAATATTTATATAAATTCATGGATTTTAACTCTTACCAACCTGAATAAAATCAATTGGGCAGGGATGATTTCAGGGAAGAGCAAACAGTGGTTGGTTATACATGATTTGCAGATTATGGTGCGATCCTGTGGCACATAGTGAATTGTTGTAAGATCACAAGTCACTGGCGTGGACTTGAAACCCTGTAAACATGGCCTGCTGCGCATCAGAAAGTACCACCAACTAAATTGTTAATTATTATATTATACAGGTTTACGACTAAATTGAAGTTAAAGAAATAGCATTCAGGATAAAGTTAACTCGAGTCAGGTCTTTAACAATATGTCAGTTCATGTATATTACAAAATTATATTAAGAAATGCTGGAGTTTGATGTGAAATTATTTGCTTACATGTACATTACAAAAACAAAATTATAACTTATAGTTAAATTAATTGAGACAATACTGAATAAAGTCAAACAATATTCAAGTTATTCTGTCTTTGATATAGCATGGTCATATTTACTTATGATATATACTCATTGATTTATTCTGGTTAGGGTATTAAATCTAAAATTGTTTGTTTCCAGTAAACCTACCTAACCTAATATTTTGTTTTGTTTGTTCTTAACCGTTTTTTTAATTACTAGAAAGGATCCCCTGTTGAAACAGTTTTTAAACAACAAAAATTCAATTATTTTCAAAGTAATTTAAATATGCTACCTACCGTTATTTTGCACATAGGTTACTGGACACAATTGGGTGGGGTGGGTGGGTGGGGGGGGGCTTTGCTTTAGACTTGCAGAATTCAACCATTTATAAACTGCCTGATTGTATTTGTCAGATGTTATTTTACCAGGGTATTATGAAATAAGGAACTCCAACATACTACTTATTTGTATTACATGAAATGAAAGCATGGGTCCACTTTGGAATGTCCCATACGGTGCCACTGATGGCACGTTTGGACTTGCAAATAAAGACACGTTTGTAGGTAATCCTTATACTTGTTTTAAACCTGTCATCATCATCAATACAAGTTTTTTTGTTTGATTTTGTTTAAATGTTCACAATTTCACATACCAATTAGGTAACCTCACGACATGGGAACACGTACCCGACATCCAAAAACACAAGAGAATCGTAAGCGAAATGTGTACAAAGAAATTTTAGTAATTCATTCGTCAATATGATGGAAATATATTAAAATTCACAAACCTTTTGACAAAACAATTTACCTCCGAAGGGTTACAAACATCAGTTTATAACGTGATCAGTCATCAGTCAAAGGATAATAAACATCAGAATCACGTGATCAGTAAACATTCAAAGGTAAATAACATCAGTTTAACACGTAATCAGTCATCAGTCAACGATAAATAACATCAGTTTAATACGTAATCAGTCATCAGTCGAAGGATAACAAACATCAGTTTAACACGTGATCAGGCATCAGTCAAAGGGTGACAAACATCAGTTTATCACGTGATCGGGCATCAGTCAAAGGGTAACAAACATCAGTTTATCACGTGATTAGTCATCAGTCAAAGGGTAATAAACATCAGTTTAGCACGTGATCAGTCATCATTCAAAGGTAAATAACATCAGTTTAAAACATGATCAGTCATCAGTCAAAGGGTAACAAACATCAGTTAAACACGTGATCAGTCATTAGTCAAAGGGTAAAAAACATCAGTTTAACATGTAATCAATCATCAGTCAAAGGTAAATAACATTAGTTTATGACCTGATAAGTCATTAGTCAAAAGGTGACAAACATCAGTTTATTACGCGATCAGTCATCAGTCAAAGGGTAACAAACATCAGTTTATCACGTGATCAGTCATCATTCAAAGGTAAATAACATCAGTTTAACACGTGATCAGTCATCTGTCAAAGGTAAATAACACCAGTTTATGATGTGATAAGTCATCAGTCAAAAGGTGACAAACATCAGTTTATTACGCGATCAGTCATCATTAAAAGGTAAATGACATCAGTTTTTCACGTGATCAGTCATCAGTCAAAGGTAAATAACATCAGTTGATCACGTGATAAGTCATCATTCAAAGGTAAATAACATCAGTTTAACACGTGATAAGTCATCATTCAAAGGTTAATAACATCAGTTTATGATGTGATATGTCATCAGTCAAAAGGTGACAAACATCAGTTTATTACGCGATAAGTCATCATTAAAAGGTAAATGACATCAGTTTATCACGTGATCAGTCATCAGTCAAACGGTAACAAACATCAGTTGATCACGTGATGATCGAGTCTCAACACAAAGGGTAACAGACATCAGTTGAACACGTGATTAGTCATCAGTCAAAGGGTAACAAACATCAGTTCATCACGTGATTAGTTATCAGACAAAGGGTAACAAACATCTGTTTATCACGTGAACAGTCATCAGTCAAAGGGTAACAAATATCAGTTTAGTTCGTGATAAGTCATCATTCAAAGGGTAACAAACATTTGTTTATCATATGGCCATTCCAACGGTCCTTTTAAAGCAAATAATGACCTGTAGGGATAACCCATACTTAAGTAAACATAAAGAAATTCAAACAAAAGAAAGACATCATAAAACCATGCAAACACACTTAAAGCAGAAAAGGTCACAAACGTTTTAAATAAGTTCTTCCTAATTGCGTATTCCTAGTGAGTATGTTCAGTGCGGGCAAAAAGGAAGAATATGTTGTATATCCTAGAATTAACTAATTATATCACTATAAATTCGTAACCTCATATTAATCAAACGTTTACATTGTGTATTCTAACAAGGATGTTAATGTGCATATTTCATTAAAATCGAATTTTTATAATTTCTGACACGCTCAATAAAAGCATTATTCATACAATATATTTACCTCAGAATTAGTGCGATGTCGTAATTCAGGTTTGTCTAGCCAAAGTCTAGTCATTCAAGGTGATCTAGTTAGGTTGTTTATTCCCTAGACTGTGTCTTATCAGTCACGCTGTTGTGTAATACGAAAAGGATGTCCTTTATATGAATAGACTTTGGTCAAGTATTTCACGTGTTTGACGAGGTTTATCTTTAAAAAGAATTTGACGATATAATGTTCATACCACTGTTAAGAAAATGTCGTTTATCATCTTCTTTTAACAATATTGATAAGGGAACAGTAAATATTTACTGTGTACCCGTCTACCGTCATAATCTTTATCTGATTAGGTAAAATAATTGGAGCCCCATATTCAGAGAATATTCGGTACCATTTAAAGTTATAGCATTGTTTGATCGTCTGTCCGCCATTTTTCGATTAAATTTGCGCAAATATTAAAAACGAAAAAACCGATTTAAATCAAATTCTATGTGGATATAGAGGCACACATACTACGGTTAAATTCAAAATATTTTTCAGCGCAATTCCAATATAAATTCTCATTCACCATAANGTTTCACCTAGTTTATTTTACCAGAAAAAGAACCTTATTATTAATTGTAAAAAATACATTAGGGTTATGATAATTCTATTTAGCAGAAACATTTGTTATTGACCATAACTTTTGTTTATCTTTTTTTTTGTGTGTGATTCGGGCAACGGCTACAGACATTGTATTGGGCGGAATTCGGAAATTAAGGAAGAAAGATCACGCCATATTCCCTTCCAAAATAGTATTAAAGGCGAGATTACACTATTGATCTAGTTTACGATAATTTAATGTTTGTGTTACCACGGATTTTCTGGCATTCTGTCAAGCTACTAGATTTCCGTTAATGTTGGGAAAAGAAATCTGTCCAAATTAAATTCTCCGAGTATTTATAAAGTAGTAAGCTATTCTCTAACAGGGATGTGAACTGGAATTCATATAGAAATGTCAAAACCAGACTGAAACTGTAGAATAACCATTTATCAGTTGATAGTATTAACAAAAGGGTTGATTTATCAGTTATTATAGAAGGCATGCGTAAAATAAGACTATGTTTTTCAAAAAACAATGCAGAATAAGAAAAGTTGCAATGAAAATGCAATGAATATGCAATGAAATAACTTGAGAAAGGGAATATAAGGTAAATACACAGTAAGCATTTCAAAAATGTATTGGTAGAGTAAAATGACAAATGATTGGTGATAATAACCAATAATACGTGAAACGGTTATATAGCAGAGGAAATGGCTTGTTGGAGGTNACTTGTATACTTTCTAATTTAAAAGATGAATTGATCTTGCACTTTGATATTCGTATATTTTTCACTGTGTAAGGCTAATACAGCCTTCCTTATCACCCCCCCCCCCCCCCCC